TATCCTTCAAAATATTAAGGATATTGTCGCAACTATGTAAAATCTGTTAAAGTCGAGATATTCTAAGAAAAGAGGCTGAAAAACCTATCTTTAGGACTTTGCCTATTTTTGTCGCGTCGAAAAATATTTTTGTGCAATTTCTTGTTGGGGTCTGTTGTTGTCTTCAATCTGTTGAAGCTTTGATTGTTTTCGATCATATTGGTCCGCGTATCCTCGCCATTTTTGTTTGTCAGACGGTTTCATCTTCTTGTCATCTTCATTGTGATCTGTTTTCACGCTTTAATCTTCTTAAAAAGATCCATCAGAATATTAGGGGCATTGTTAAAATCGATATATTCTTGGAAAAGTGTGCAGTTTGGCCTCAGCCTCATACAGCGCTTTTGTCATCTTCAATGAACGCCTGAATTTTTTATAATTAGCCTAAAAATATTTTTGTGAGTTTTCTTGTTCTTGTCTCACTGATGAAGCTTTGATTGTTTCCGACAACTTGGTCCTTCTACCCTCGCCCTTTTTGTTTGTCAGACGTTTTTCAACTTCTCGCCATCTTCATTAGCGGGTTTGTGATATATTTTCTGGCTTTAGGTTTAGATAGATCCTTCAAGATATTTGGGTTATTGACACAACTATTTTAAATCAGTTAAAATGGAGATATTCTGAGAAAAGTTTCCAGTTTGACCTCAGCCTCGGCGCGCATTTTGTCATAAAATAATTATATCACAAATTTCTTGTAATAATAATTTAGTTAATTAAGGTTGTTTTTTTTTAGTTGAGATAAAAAAGTCAGTGTCCCAAGCGGGATTCGAACCCACGGCCTTCCACTAGATACGCCGCTGCTATACCACTTGAGCTATCGTGACTTCCATCCACTCTAGCCGAAGGTCGTGGGTTCGAATCCCGCTCGTGACACTGATTTTTTTATCTCAACTAAAAACCTTAATTAATTGAAAGATATTCGGTCAAGCGGACCACGAAAACATGTGAATATAATAATTTAGTTTATAATTGGCCGACAAATATTATTTGTTGTTGGATTTCTTGTTGAGATCTGTAGAGGACGAACCTGGTCATCCGATCGTGTCCTGGTCCTTGCTTCTTTACTAACAGGTCGAAAATAGCATTCGCTTGCTTTGTCTTTAGTGTTTATCATTTTAAACTTATTCACAGAATCAATAGTTTGATAATAAGAAGGACGAATTATTGATCTTTCGCGCTAATACATGCGAACACTTCATTGCCAGAGACTTCGGACGCGTCCCGACAAAACTCGACGCGGGCTTAGTCAATAATCGCAAAAAAACCCGCTTTCTCGCTAACTTTCACCAGATTAAAAACTGCGGATCAAAAAGAAATTTTATTAACGAAAAGATATGAATGAAAATTTTAATGCCTTGAAAGATAAACGATACTAACTGATCCTGCGGTCAGGGTGACATACAGAGAAGAAAGAGAAAAGGGAAGAGTAAAATAATAAGTAGTTCTAGACTTAAAGAAACGTTGGTTGATGTTGATGACCATGTTTGATAATAAATAAACAAAAGAAAACATGTTTAAGCAAATGCCTAGCTTAATTTAAATTATACAGTAATTACATTTTTCCTTTCCTCCAGATGGCATTCCACTCTGGTCGTATTTTAAACATAATCCAGAGATATTTGAACGCGAACTCTGGATGTAGTTTTTCTTTTATAAGTTATTTATACCGGGATTGCTAAAAATTTATCTCTGGCTCCTGAGACAGTCCGAGTTGGAGAAAAAAGGTGAAACGACCGTTTTGCAATTTGGCAAAACGAGTTTACGGCCCCATTATTAAGACGGAGTCGGGCGTAATTGAACAAATAAGCTTATCCTCCCCCTTCCAATTTTTTTTTTCTCCGGGTGTCAAACCCTCGTACGGAGATAGTGGACCCCTGAGTAATAATCCCGAATAAAAGCGTTTGTCTTGTAGAGGGCTTAAAAATTTTCCAAAGGGATTTTACTCGGAAATCGATACGGCCCAAGGTTTAAATTTGGAAACGTTTTCGCGAACGGGCGTCAAATTTTCTTTATTTTCCACGGGAAAAATGGAACCTGGAGATAGGAATTTGCAGAGTGAAATGCGTTTCGTTTTCTCGCCATCTTCAGTGGTGGGTTTTTGTTCTGCTCCTGTTTCTACTTATGAAAATTTTGACCGTTTCACGCTGTCGCATTGTACATAGATACTCGTAGATCCTAGTATGAGTATCTATGTATGACATGAGTAAATTTTGTTAAATCTGTTAAATTTGAAATATTTTGTGTGTAGCTTGGCCGTTTTTGTCAGCCTCCATGCGTATTTCCTCATCTTCAGTGATTGCTCTGCGTATTTTTGTCACGAAGTCCTTGTATAACAATAATTTAGTTTACTATTGGCCGAATAATATTATTTTTGTGAAATTGCTTGTTCGGGTGTGGAATGTGTGAACCATTGATCGTTTCCGATCATCTTGGTCCGCCTGTCCTCGCTGTTTTGGTAAAACAGACGGCCAGACGCTTTTCGGTTTGTTGCCCTCTTCAGTGGTGGGTTTTTGTGTATTCGTGTTTCTACTTCAAAACTTGGACTTGTTCACGTTTTACGCACATTGGTCCGCCTATCCCCGCTGTTTTGATCTGTTTGCTTTTCGGTTTGCTGTCCTCTTAAGTGGTGGGTTTTAGATACTGTAGATCCTTCAAAATACAATGGATATTGAGTAAATTAAATTGATTGTTAAATTTGAGATATTTTGTGAATAGCTTGGCCGTTTTTATTAGCCTCGATGCGTATTTTCTCATCATGAACGATTGCTCTACGTATTTTTGTCATGAATTCCTTGTATAACAATAATTTAGTTTATAATTGGCCGATCAGCATTATTTTTTTGACATTTCTTGTTGGGGGGTGTGCAATGTGATGAACCATTGATCGTTTCCGATCATCTTGGTCCGCCTGGCCTCGCTGTTTTAGTAAAACAGACGGCCAGACGCTTTTCGGTTTGTTGCCATCTTCAGTGGTGGGTTTTTGTCTATTCGTGTTTCTACTTCAAAACTTGGACTTGTTCACGTTTTACGCTTTAAGCACTGTTGCTCGTAGATGAACCTCTAATAGTTTCCGATCACCTTGGTCCGCCTCTCCTCGCTGTTTTGATCAGCTTGCTTTTCCGTTTGCTGTCCTCTTCAGTGGTGGGTTTTAGATACTCGTTGATTTTTCAAAATATAACGGGAGTTGAGTCAATTTTGATAAATCTGCTAAATTCGAGATATTTCGTTAGGAAAGTGTGTAGTTTTTGTTATTTTTATCAGCCTCGACGTGTATTTTCTCATGTTCAATGATTGCTTTGCATATTTTTGTCACGGATTCCCTATATAACAATAATTTAGTTTACACTTGGCCGATCAATATAATTAGATACTCGTAGATCCTTCAAATTATAATGGACATTGAGCCAATTTTGTTAAATTTGTTAAATTCGAGACTTTTGTTAGGAAAGTGTGTAGTTTGGCTGTTTTTATCAACTTCCTTTGCGCGTTTTTTCCTCTTCAGTGGTTGATCTGCGTATTTTTCTCACGTATACCTTGTATAACAATAATTTTGTTTATAATTGGCCAATCAATATTGTTTGTGGTGAAATTTCTTGTGTGGGTCTGCAGTTTGATGAATCTTTGGTCGTTGTCTGTATCCTTTTCCCCTTGGTCCGCCTATCCTCGCTGTTTTGATGAGTCAACCCTAGGACGCTTTTTGGTAAATCAGACGCTTTTCGGTTTGTTGCCATATTCAGTGGTGAGTTTTTGTCTATTCGTGTTTCTGCTTGAAAATATGCAATTTTTCACGTTTCACGCATTAAGCACTGATACTCATAGATGAACTTCTGGTCGTTTCCGATCACCTCATACCGCTTACATTTCGCTTTTGGCTTCTCGCCATCTTCATTGGTGGTTCTGTCGCAAAACCACTGACAGACCGAGACACCAAAACAATCGGAAACTCCTAAATTGCAGGTTCATTGCTCAGCGAACCCCAAGAAGAAATCACCAATCCTCCTGTTTTGGTCTACGATTTTCAGTTTCTTGCCATCTTCAGGGGTGGGGAAATAATCGATCCCTGATATAAGAATTTACAGGAAAATGGCAGAATAATGTTAAAAGCCATTTGAATTGCTTTTATTTTTCGTTCGAACTTCGATTAATACGTTTTCTAAGCCGATGATGAAAAATAGGGACTTAATAAAAGGGCTTTATTCAAAGCAGGAAAAGTGAATTACTTTCAATTATTAAAGTAAAATGCCTTCTCTTTTAAGAATTTTTTATTTGACGATTGTCTGCATGATGATGCGAGATTAAATAAATTTTTAATTTTCGATTCTGATATAAATTATGTTAGTATGTCGGATGTCTAAAAGAGTTAGATATTTAACCAGGTCATTAGCTTTAAAGAGCTATAATTACACAACTTGAAAGTTTAGTCAAAGGGTATCTGTTTTTTAGAGTCAAGGGCCTCTCGGCTTTCAAAGTTCACGAGGTGAAATTTGGAGCTTTTATTTCCACTCAAAAAAATGTATTCGTGGGCTCTTGAAAGCAGGATATATGCATCAAGAGCATGCTGATTTAACCGGCCTTTCGGACTGGTCCTTCGGCGTACTATTTAAAGTCCTTTCATACCTTTAAACCGTTCAACTTTGATACTTGGCAATTTTTCATATTTTACTATAAAATTTTTATAACCCGGGTACACCTGTACATCTGAGATACGTGATCCTTTGAGTACGTTTGCGTATTTTCTTCAACATCACAGCAAACAGAATTTTTTGGAAGGAGAAGAATGTTTGGTTTTTCTGTTAAGTTTTCGTTTATAGTTTGAATTGTCGGAAACCACTAAACTACAGGTTCACCCCCAGCAGACCCCAAGAAGAAATTTCCCAATATCTTTATTTGTCTGAATTATGGATGTTTAAGTTTTTATAAATTTACAATACTCGTAATGTTTAATATTTTGTTTTTCGCTTTTTCAGCTTGAAGAGTGGTTGGAGGAGGTGCGAAACGAGAGTTGCGATGCGCTCGGAGCAGACACAGTGGAAGCTGCTGAGAGGCAATTAGAAGCAAGCAAACAGCAGAGGCTTTCTTCTCTGGACGCCTGCTTGAATACAATCGCCCAAGGAGAAGCGTTATTGCAAGAGCTCAGGTAAATATATTTAGTTGGCGGATTACTACGCCGAGGGGTTTGGTACATGGAATTGCTCATTGTCCGACGGGAAAAGGGTGGTACAATGGTGTAAATCATGTCGGCAACAGCGTCCGCATTAATAGTCAACCCTTCAACCGGGGTTAATGTCCCGAAAGTGGCAACTATCCCGGGCTAGGATACTCGGAGCTGGAGAGGGTTGCTCGTAATGAGCAATAACGGGGATGTGACTCTCGTAAATTTTACCCGGCTTCGAAAAATTGAACTTGCAAAATCCTATTCGGCCAATTGGGGCCCTAAGAGCTTCAAGTTAAACCGGGGGGGGGGGATCGGGCAGTTTTTGCCCTATGATCGGGTAATGGGGTTTGTTTCAAATTGGCACGATTCGAAAGGAAAACGGTCGTGGGCGTAATGGTCGAGAAGGTCCGTAAATAACCAGGCAAAACAAAAACTGTTCTAATACAAAAAAATAATTTTCTCTGATCGTTATACTTGTAAGCTAAAAAGCAACCAATCAGATTTTTTTTAATAAATAATTTATTTATAGCCTGTACGAAACATAAACACAAACTAATGCCCTTGTGAGGGATTTAGGGGTAAGTCTCGAGGTCATTGACGTGGTCGCTTCTCGGGATGAGTAGTCAGTTCGCTGGCAAAAGGAATGTTGAGGTTGTGGATTGTAAGGTTGGTGACATAGTAAGGAAGTTCGATTTTTGAAGCTTTTGGAAGATTGGATGCGCTGGATATTGGATAGCTCGGCGGAACACCACAGTTCAGCTCCGTATGTCCGAAGCGGTCGCAGTAATGTCTTGAGAGTTAGCTGGTTTTAACGATCAAAACTGATTTCGGTCCTAAATTCGTAGTTGTCCAAGTCTAATAAGTCTTGTGTGAAGATCCCATATCAGTATGTTGTTTTATCTAAGTATCTGACTTGAATGGAAGTTAATATCTCCTTGTTGTTAATTCACTACCGAATTAACTTTACTTTTACCGAAGGAAACATTACATAGAAACAGGAATTGAACTTAGTAGCAGTTCAAAATATCTCAAGACGTTCATAAAAGATGGAACGTCGAAATTCATCTGTCCGAAATAGCCAAATTAGACAGCCCAGTATGATGATACTTTGACAGATGGCAACAGCTCACAGGCCACCAAAAAATTCCACCTGAATCTGTTTCCTTGGTGTGGTATTTTTGAAAATGTTTAAAACAAGGACAGACGAAAGATAAGGTTGATACAACTGCTGTCAGTTTATAAGAAGTCTTAATTTTTTAATTATTTTGACAGATGAATCAGGTCATATCGACAAAGTCTATAGGGTTTAGGTCTGTAAGGCGGGTTTCTGCATTTCGAACTTATTCGAAAATCCTTTTGAACTAAATAGCATACTTTGCTAAAGAAAATCCGTAAAGATCGTTCGCTGATATTCCTAACTATCTTAATAGTTGAAGGTTATGATGATAATGAATGCAGCCTTCTGGCTTATTGTACTTTCTCTCTGTTCAGTTCAATTGGCTCGATCCTTGTTTTAACAAGTAAGTCATTGGCTGTCATTGCTGCTGTTCTGTTTCCCAGGTTTTCTTGGTACTCCAGGAGATAACCATACCTCAGATATATCTCCATTGAGCAGTTGCTTCGTATTCGACATGCAGAGATGCATGACTGTTTTCCTGATATTACATAACCTACAAATAATCACATTATGATTTGAGGATACAGGAAACGGGGTTTCATATCCTCCAAGCACTGCATCATTTTAGCTTATTGTACTTTTTCTAGTTCCTTAGTTCAGTCCAATTGACTCGATCCTTTTTTTAACAAGTAAGTCGTTGACTGACAGCTGCAGTTCTGTTCCCCGGGTTTTCTTGGTACTCTAGGATATAACCTCAGACATATCTCCATTGAGCAGTTGCTTCATATTCGAAGATAATATGGATGTCTGTTTCTCCCCCATACTATATAACCTACAAATGATCTCATTATGATTATGAGATACAGGAAACGGGAGTTTGGTATTCTCCACTGCAATATTTTGGCTTATTTTCCTTTTCTTAGTTCCTTATTTCAGTTCGTTTGACTAGATCCTTCTTTTTAGAAGTAGTAGATCATTGCTGCTATTCTTTTTTTTAGGATACCCTTGTAATGTCTCCATTGAGCAGTTTATTCGCATTCGAACGTAATATGAATGGAAGTTTCTTCTTCATTGCATAACCAGCATATGGGATCATCGTTGAATATACCCATTTTATGTTTTCTCAGATGCCAGAACATAGTCGTTTTACTCTGCGTTTTACCCTAACTGTACTCCTATACTTTTGCCAGTTTTGGTGAACTTTAATTATAAGTTAACTATTTTTGACACCTCAAGAATTGGTCCACTGTTTTTTTGTGGATCCATTATGAGCTGGAGGTGAGCTCTTGTCATCTCAAGGTTCTAGGCCTATACATGATCTTGCAGATCCTTTTCTGGCCAATGTACCTTTTTTTCATTACCCAGAACTCCTTTATGTCCTGGCACCCAAGACATAATCAGGTTGTTGTGTTTTCCCAGGTTTTGGATATTTTCGCTTACTATTTGCTATGTTACCTTCTACAGGCTAGTACTTTTGTGGCTGCTTGGCTGTCTGTTATTAAAAGGATTTTTTGTCTGTGTTTAACCACTTTTAACGACGGTTGGGCAGATTTGGTCATTTTCATTGGTGTTTGTTCAAAAAGGTCTGTCGCCATGAAACAAAATAATGTTCTAATTGTTCTTTGGTAATTGTGAACAAACAAGGTATGATTAAGAAAATGCATAACAATAGAACTCAACACCAACATATTTTATACCTCGTTCTCATAAAGGCAGCGGAGGGACGAATGTTGAAGATAGGACGGCCAAGTGGGTAATAATTTACATTTTTTTGAAAAATGCCGTTATTAGTTAACTAGGGCCCCCCTGAGGAGATGTATGCCTTGTTATCAGGAATGACAAAGTCGAGGGGCCCTTGCATCCGTCAACAATGACTCAAGAGGGAGGCGCTCACGTAAATTCCCCTCCCGTTCTCTTAAAACTTAATCATTCCGAGTATTATCCTACTTTAGGGCTTTCGAACATAAGGGGCTTCTTGGTCTTTTTTACGTGCAATCCTATGTAACGGTACAGCGGCTTTTCAGCCGGAAGATTCCCTATTCAATTTACAAGTAAGAAAGCAAAAGAGCATCGTGTGGTCTGAGAGGTCCATGTTGTTTTGTTGTTTCCGATCATCCTCACTGATTTAGTCCGTCATACGTCTTTTGTGGCTTGACTCTTTGTCATCTATCAAAAACTGCATTTTTACCAAATATTAAAGAACCCAGCACTGGACATGGCGAGAATTAGAAACTGTTTTGATTTTTCTGTTATTCTTTCGTTTGCAGTTTGGTCGATTCCGATCATTTTTGTCGTCCTGTCTTCGCTGATTCAGTATTCGGAAGCGTTAATGTTTTTCACCTTTATGCCAATGGAACAAAAACGGCCTTTTTGGTAAAATAGCGATCAACCCAGCACTGAAGATGGCGAGAAGTTTTGGTTCTTTCACATTTCGTTTTTTTCTCTTAAAATTTCGTTTGTATGTAGTTTGCTCGTTTCAGATCAGTGGTCCGCCTAACCTCGCTGATTTAATCTATCTGTGACCTTTCAGCTGTTTCCCTTTAAGTCAATTGTACAAAAACGGAATTTTGGCAAAATTGCGATCAACCCAGCATTGTTTGTTTCTCTTATATTTTCATTTGTTTGTAGCTTGCTCGTTTCAATCAGTGTGGTCCGCCTATCCTCGCTGATTTAGCCTATCAAAGGCCTTTCTGCTTTTCCTCTTCGTGCAAATTGTACAAAAACGGAATTTTAGGCAAAATAGCGATCAAACCATCATTGGTTTTTCTCTTATATTTTCATTTGTTTGTAGCTTGCTCGTTTCAATCAGTGTGGTCCGCCTATCATCGCTGATTTAGCCTATCTGAGGGCTTTCAGCTTTTTCTCTTTGTGCCAGTTGTAAAAAACAGAATTTTAGGCAAAATAGCGATCAAACCATCATTGGTTTTTCTCTTATATTTTCATTTGTGTGTAGTTTGCTCGTTTCAGATCAGTTTGGTCCGCCTATCCTCGCTGATTTAGCCTATCTGAGGGCTTTCAGCTTTTTCTCTTTGTGCAAATTATACAAAAACGGAATAATCCGCAAAATAAACTCAGCCCTGAAGATGGCGAGAAGTTGAAACCTATTACTTTTTCTCTTACGTTTTCATTATTTTGTAGTTTACTCGTGCCAGATCATGTTTGTCTGCATGTCCTCGCTGATTTAGTCTATCAGAGGCCTTTCTGCTTTTCCTATTTATGCCAATCGAGATATTGAAACTCATTTCGTTTTTCTCTCTTGTATTTACATTTGTATGTAGTTTACTCGTTTCAGATCATTTTTGTCCGCATATCTTCGCTGATTTATTCTATCTGAGGCCTTTCAGCTTATTCTTTTTGTGCCAATTAACAAAAACGGTCTAATTCATTAAATAGCGATCCACCCAGCACTGAAGATGGCGAGAAGTTGAAACGCATTTCGTTTTTTCTCTTTTGTATTTACATTTGTATGTAGTTTACTCATTTCAGATCAGTTTGGTCCGCCTATCCTTGCTGATTTAGTCTATCTGAGGCCTTTCAGCTTTTTCTCTTTGTGCAAATTATACAAAAACGGCATAGTCCGCAAAATAAACCCAGCACTGATGATAGCGGGAAGTTGCAACGTATTTAGTTTTTTTCTTATATTTTCATTTGTTTGTAGTTTATTCATGTCAGATCATGTTTGTCAGCATATCCTGGCAGTTTTAGTCTTATCAGAGGACTTGCGGCTTTTGCTCTTTGTGCCGATTGTACAATAACGGCATAGTACGCAAAATAGCATCAGCCCATAGACAGAAGGGTTTTTTATTTAAATTCAAATAACTTGCTCATTTCGTGGAGTTCCTGTATTCTCATTAGGGTAGTCTAA